CTTGTTTGTTTGTTATTTTCTAATTTTGAAGGATTTTGGAGAGCAATAAGAATGTCAATTTATAAATTGCTTTTTTGGAGAAAACCTCATTGCAGTATTTACACTTCGTAAGCATAAAACAGTCGTTCAGAAAATGTTCGTCTAAACCTTCAGGAGTGAATCGTTCATCGAACTGACTACAAAACATGCATATCCTGCAAATTATGTTGGGGGTCCTCAAAAAATGCTGTAAATTGAAAAAATGAGGTTCCAATTTTATAGTATAGTGTGTATTATTCAGTGGCCAGCTGCCAAATAAAATGAAATGCTATGTTAGCAATTACGCCACTGTTTACAGAAGAAGTAGCTTTGTGTAGTTCTCACTTGTCGTAGTCTACAGGATCATTTTCTGTAGTTGCTTTATTATCGTTATCAATTAGGGTAATCGTTTTTGGTCTTTTAAGGTCGTCTGGTTTTGGCACTCGGCTTATTTTGCTCCTCGCCTTTGCTGAACTACAAGCGAATGAACGCTGCCTATGTGGCTAATTTGTTTATGCAGTATAAGGCGTTAATAGTAAAGCACAAACCTGAATTTTAAGTTTGAGGTAGTTCCATCAGCAGCGTTAAACTGGTTTAGTATTTGTTTAAGGAGAGGGTTTTTGCCCATTTTCTGATGCTGGTTAGTGATTTGGGATTTAATATAGGTTTTGTCACATCCAGTAGAGTAAATTAAAAGGAAAATATTTTTTCCGATATTGCGAGTCTAAATTAAATTGTCTTTAGCAAGTGCTATTCTTCATTAAAGCTATAAAATTTGAAAGATTCTGTTCGGCAGATGTCAATAACTGCCCAAAAGAAGGGTACTGGTTGGAAACGGTACTTCAGGATCGTTATGAATTAGACAGCTTTGCGCAAACCGACATATGGATTGTTCCGTAAGGTAACTGAAATTTTATACTCATTTGAATCACTGGTCGTTGGCTTCAAGGGACGCTTTTTTTTCAACATCAAGACTAGTGAAGTGCAAGAAAGTAAAGAAGACTGGCTAAATCATGTGATGACTGTAGATTTTTATTGTACACATGTTAGAACGTGATACCGTCTTACGTTTCTGAGTAGAACTTAGTTCTTTTAAATCTTTTATCTCGTTAAGAATTCTGTAGCAAAAATTTTCAGCAGAAGGAATTTTTTGCTACTTTTGTCAAAAAATTTTGTTTGGTAAAGAGAGCGAAGGAAAAAATTGCTTGCAGCACATGCTTATCTGGAAGAAAACGATATAGGAGAAAAAAGGATTATTAGAGTAGTAATGGTACTTGTAAAGCAATTTAAAAAAAGGTCAGAAATCGCTTTGTTGGAGAAAGGTCACTTGTACCGCTTTGTATAAAATTTGGAACGCGACTCGAAGTGGTGGATAAAAGTAACGATTGCTGCCTTCTGATGAGTCAAAATTGAAGAGGCTTTTTTGCCTGGAAAGGCCAGTAGTAATTAACATGAAGCGGTATTTCTATGAAATCATGAGTCACGAATGAAGTGGCGAGTTGAAAAGAGGTCTACTCAGCATAAAATCAGCTTACAGCAAGTTGCTCAAGTTGCTTCTTTTAGCATTCCTCAGTGAGTAAGAAGGCTTTCTGTATCATCTTGCTTTTTTTCTTTATGAGATCCTGTGCGTCGTTTTCTTAGCGGTTCCAAATACGTCTCCAACAAGTGACGGTAAAGAACAGTGCAAGAAAGAAAGAAGTTTTGGTTGACGTAAGGAAGGAGGTATGAAATTTGGCGATGACAACGGTTCTTTTGTAAGTATTTAGGCGAAATTTGGTTTTGTGGAAGCATTATTCTCTAATTTTTGGGTACTTAACAAGAGGTTTGTAAGGAGGGTGACAAGTGTCTTTAACAAATATTACAGCTTGTGTTAGATTTTCAGATGGCCAGTAAGAGTTTTATGATGAGCGTACTTCCACTGCTTGCATGGATTGTTTTCCATAAAAAAAGTTTTTTGTCTTCACCTTATTTTATTTCTGCTAATGCATCAACGGTACAGACAGCAAGTGAGCATCTGTAGGGCAGACGAGATGAAAGGTACTGAAATTTAAATGAAAAAAAAAAACTAACATTTCTTTATTTGGGATTTCAAAGTGATTCAAAATATTCCAGACTATTTCTGCTTTGCCTCCGTCCGTTCTTATATTGCTCCTGGAACTGTTAAATGGCGACAGAAATCGAGAAACAAAACTTTTTGCTACCTACAATTATGCATTAGCTTACACTAATTTCGTATGAGAATATTTTTTAGAAAGATTTTAAGGAAATTCTTTTTCTGCTCGACAAAGTGGTAATTGAAAACTAAAGTTGAGGCCAAAAAATAGCTTTTTATACTGATTGGTTCAGAGTATCAATTTAATTTACTTTCATTTAAAAAACAAAACTAGTGTAACCACTTGTAGGTGTTATGGTAGGAGTAATGATACCTTTTGTTCACCACTAAGAATTTCAATGATTGCCCTGTTTGTAATTTGTCTGATTCGTTTTTCCTGAATTAAAAGTTTTAAAATATGATTTTACTCCTGGAACTTTTTGTTTCTATTTGTAATTCTCTTATTACAATTGTAGTTTTAATGATGAATCATACTGTTTAAAAATTATATTTGACTTTATTTATTAGTAATCTTATGTCATTTAGTTTTTATTTTTTTTATACTGCAACAGATTTTTTGAGTATATTTCAAAAAATTTTTACTGTAGAAAAGCATTTTACTGATTTCAAAGTTGATAATTTCAATATCTGAACCTTAGAGTATTGTGTGCCGTATATGATAATTGCTTACATTTGGTTTATCGCTCATACGATTGATTAATGGTCCACACGTGGCAGCAGCCAATACAGAACTGTAACTCTGTAGATCCCAGTTTGGGATAAATACTGTGGCTATGTAATTTAGTACATTTAAAGCATTTGAGTATACCGGAAATAAGTAGTTAGTTACTCATTTTCAACTACTGATAAAAATTATAGTTTGAAATTTGAACTGCCAAAGACAAAATTTCAATTGTCAATTGCCTAAGAATCAGGATTTTTTTATCGGCGTTAACTAAGTGTAGGTCAGTTTTGAAGCCTGTCAGTAGTGAAGTGGAGGTTGTTGCCTTAAACTTAAATACCTTACTGGCCACTTTTAAATTCATCTCATGTAATATAAAACATTTTCTTTCTTTTTTTTTCGTTGGTTGAAGATCTGTACAAGCTTAGTTCTATAAAGTGTATAAATGTTCTATCTATCAGTGGTAAAGGGTAAGACAGAAACTGATTAACATATAAAAAGAAATTTGAAAAAAAAAATAATATTTTAGCAACCGACAGTGAAAAGGCTATCCCGAAGACAGCTACAAATTATTGGCAATGCGGAATTCAAATAATCTCGAGCATTATTTCCTTCTTTTAATGCTATTAATTTTTCTTTTATACCGGTTAGACCATCGTTTCTGTCTTTCCACTTTTTCCCATATGACTTTCGCACCTTAGCAAGATAATATATAGGTCATTGCAGTGCAGAAAAAAATGTTAAAAAGAACAAAGTTGAGCAACAGTAAAACATTAACAACTACTAACGGTTTCTACTCCATATAAGGTTATTGCTTTAGAGGCAAACGCTCGATCCGATGGATTGATGGCATTCAGCAGTTCTTCTTCACCAATTCCTCCTTGATCGGCATTTCTCGCTTTCCGAACTGGTGAATACACAAGTCTCTTACTGCAGCAAATGGTGTTTTTAATGCTAATTTTTCATTTAAAAACAAAGTGTGTGTCATGAATTTGAAAGTTTTTAAAAATAACCCCATCAACGCTGCAGCAACATATGTATTTTCTTTCTCAAGAAACTTGTTATTTTTTGATGACGATGATAATTTTCGTCGTCCAGCAGGCGAGCCAACAGTCTGAAATCGAATTTCAGACACATAAAATAAATGTAAAGTGCCGTTTTTCAGTATTATTTTAACATGCATTAAAAAACAGCAATAAACTGAAATACCGCAGTTTCAAGACAGAAATTAGCTGTAATTATATTATATAATTTGTTGTTCTCTACCTTAGGAGAGTGGCTAAACAGTTGAAAATCTTGTTTTGGCGAATATGATTTTGCGAAATCATCGTCATTCTACAAAGCAATTTTTTTTACACATATCATCCAAAGTACAAATGAGATGTTTATAAGACTGCACACATTATGATGTATAATTACAAAAAATTTTTGAAATTTTACTTGAATATGTCAAGAAATTTTATGTTATTTTAGCTGAGTATTTTTTTTTTAATGCAACAATATTATTGAACTTTTAAGCAAAGAACAAATAGACGAGGGAATCTTATGAACCGTGAAGAAAATTGTCTCTCGGTAGTAAAATATGCCCAGGATATAAATACAGAAAACGGTATATACTTCAACAACAGTCGATTAATAATTTGGGTTTGTAGATTCCAATAAAGTGTTGACTTAATGAGAAAATTTAGAAGAAGCAAACGAAATGCCTTCTATTGAGCATACATTTATTCAGTTTATTTATATAATTTTGAAAAACAATTAAACCTTTTATCAAAATTAGTACACTATTATACGAAAAAAGTTGTTTGAGTTAGAAATTATTTTTTAAATTGCTTTTTAACAGTCTTAAAAAGCAAAAATAAAGTTTAAAAAAAGTTATAACTATAATAGAAAATTTGGCTGTTAAAGATTAGTCGGAAGTACTAAAACATTTAATCTTGATCTCGGGCAGTAAAGCTAAAGAAAAATTTTACTGCGCTATAATATTTTCTCTTACAGTAATTGTGTAAGAAAAGATATACATTTTTCTGTGTAGATGGGTTTAATTTATTTCAATTCTTTTCAATTAAATTATAAAAGTTGTATTATAAAATATTAAAGACGCTCATCATCACAAGTTCTCAAACTTAATGCTTACTGCTTCAAAATTTTTTAGAAAATTTATATGCTACTTCAAAATAGTTATCGAGTTTAATAGAAAAGAAGCAAAAGATCTGTTTTTTCGGTTACTGAAGATGATTTCTGATGATGCAGTTACATTAATAATTATCAAAAAAAACTTCTATTTCTCACTGCATATACGTGAGATTAGTTGCAACAAAACTTAGTTCCAGACTTTTTCTGTGCTTAGCGATAAGTCAGTTTCGGCTTTCCATTTTGAATAAACGTTCTTGATTTGTGCCTTCAATTTAGCAGCTGTTTCTAAATCGTCATTCTCTATCTAAAACATTCAATACAACCAATTAAAAATTTCAATTTTTTTTACTAGTAAATGATAAAGAGAAAAAAAAGTTCTCTCTCGATACCGACACAGTATCTATACACTTCATGAAGGAGAAATTCTCAAACAAGTTGAAATTGCTTGAATTTCAATGAGACTTTTAAAACTGGTTAAAATATTTAAAATTACAATTAAAAAAATTTACTGTGTTGCTGTTTATTAACAAGGAAAAAAAGTTTTTTAAAATTATCTTCTGGCACTTACAGCTGTTATTTTTCCATCATCCATTCTCTCAATTCCTTTTTTTATGATTGTTATCTTTCCTATCAGTTGTTCAGCTTTGTTTGCCTCAGCAATATTACCCCTCTAAAACAGTGATACATTTATTAGTTGTTACATATAATTTTAAAGAAAAAGTTTCTCTAGCAAAACGTTAACCTAACACATTGTTTTGGCGACTACTCTGCGTTTATAGAATTGAAACAAATAACCTTTTGCACTATATATATATATTGCCAGTGGTACCTTTCACACGTAGAAATTTGTATGGCAGATCTTAGAACAGAGATAATAACAGTGAAAAGC